CCCCACCCCCCTTTTCGTGGTGCTGTAAATTGTTAAGTGCTGCGCTGTGCTGCTCACGCACGAGCCTGGAGGTTGTCCCAGCGCTGTGTCCTGTGCAGATGTTGTGTTTTGGGGTTCCTGGTTCTGGGACTGCGTGAGGTGTAAATCCCTGCAGGCTCCTGAGGTCTCCTGAGAGCAGCTTACAGGCTTCTTTGAGCTCCACGCTTGACTTATCTTTGGCCTTCTAACAACGCTTTGAGGGGAGAATTTCAAGTCTGTGTGTGAACGAGAGCCCAAAATTTCACTTTTGAAAGTGACCTTGTGAACCTGGGAAGTCTCGTCATTGAAAGTTAGGTTCCAGAGTGACTTTTGGAAACCAGGATCAGGTTCGTAGCTGTGTACAAGGTAGAGTTTGCTCTATGGGTTTAGGTCTTTTCCTACCCCCGGCCTTACAGTGTGTCGAGGAAGAGTAGCAAGGGTTCGGTTTGTTGGTGTTACGTGCTGTGGACCTCCCCTGGCACAATGTTAACTTGTACCCCAGCTTTATTCTGATCATATAGCAAGGGAGAATTCAGTCTTGCGTAACTTATGACACCTCTTGTTTGTATATTTATGGGCTGAGACTCAGGGGAAAATGTATTTAAATACAAAATGTACAATTTCAGGTGGAGAACTAAGGGGAGAGAGGTCCTCTTGCATCAGTCTCTCATCTTCAGCCTCAGTTGGATAGTGTTTTCTGGTTCACACTGATCCCAGCAGTAATCTGTGAATCTCAGCAGTCACTAACAGTTTGGGTTTTGTATGCTGTAAATAGGAAGATCTTGCCTTCAGTGTTACCCAGGGCAGTGTGTCTCTTGTTAGAAGAGCAGCCAGTAGACACTAGGTTGCTCTGAATGTTTTGCTGATAACTTTCTGTGTATTTGCAGAGCCATGGAGGACTTGGAAAACAATACTACTGTCTTCTCCACCCTGAGGTCTCTCAACAACTTCATTGCACAGCGTGTGGAGGGGGTGTCTGGGCTGGCTACGCCAGGATCATCGCAAAGCTCTTTGCAAATGCAGTACCAGCAGAGGGTGCAGGTGAGGTATCCTCCTCTTGCTGATACCTGCAGCATCACCTCACTATGAATGTAGACTCCTTTTGATTCTGTGTGATTCAAGATCATTTGCATTAAGACCTGACCGTTCTTTCTAAAATTGCTATTTATGCATGCTCAGTAATGGAGAAGTTTGCTTTGGGTGAACATTCTTTAAGTTTTTTTTAAGTGTTAGCCTTATGTGTATTTCTGTCTTGTGAAAATTTAAGGAAAGTCCTTTGAATTTCTTCCTCACTGATTATATCAGTATACCAGCTCAGAAAATTAAATTGTAAGTTGCTTTCAGTCTGCTGCTTAACAGGTGTATTTCCAGTAAGTTATCTTGTTTACCATTTTTCACCACCCTCTTTAAAATTTCTTTGCCTTGATGCATATAGGAGACTTGCACTAGTGCCATGGCTTCGATATGCCAACGAGTTTTGCTACCTTATCCTCTTCTATTCAAATCCATTGATTGTTGTGACTTTTTCCTGTAAGCTGCCTTTCTGATTTTGTTTTGCTTTGTGTTCATAAGACATCTAGTAGGATGACATCTTGGACTCTATATTAGGGACTCTATATTAGACTCAGAAACATTTCTGCAGTCTATATCTTGATATAAGTTCTATTTAAATTCCTAAGTATACAATAAGGTGGTGGTTGTTTTTTTTTTTTTTTAATGTAAATCTCCTTTGCATTGAGGTTGCTGACAAAAATTTGTGTGTTTTCTGTCTGTAGTACTTCTCTGGTTACAGAGCCTTCGCTAGATATATGGTGATCGTATATTGCTTAGAAGTGAGGTGTTCTATTAATATTATAAGTGCTTTAAAATAATTTTGTACGAAGCATTCAGTCATATAGATAAAAAATATATTGTAACAGGTTGTAGAAAAACATGCTATTTTGCTCAACAATTACATTTCATGGGAAAAATGAGCTCTGCTTCTTGGTTAGTTGCTGTTACTTTTATAAAGCTTGGGGGATTTGGAATTAACCCTCTTTTAGGTAGAGAAGTGTGTTTTGTCAGATAGAGGGCCTCTAGAATTTGGATGAGAAATTCTTAGTGAGGAATTTAAAATTCACTTGTTTGTAACTAACATTAATTTGACGTGGGTTTCTGAGCATGTTGTTGAACTCTTAGCCTTAGCTTCCCAATCCGCAGCTTGTTTGGGAAGACGTAAGTGAGGTGATAGTTCCCTTGTAATTTTGTAAAATACTGTGCAAGTGTCAGCTGGATAGTATGGGTTGCAGTGCTATTAATGATGTGTAATATCCCTCTTCACATATGAACTGGCCAGTTGGAAGAACAAGCTGGGCAGATCCATTCCAAATCTCAGCTCCTGCAGGTGGAACGAGAGAAGATGCAGATGGAGCTTAGCCACAAAAGAGCTCGCATTGAGCTAGAGAAGGCAGCTAATACTAATGCCAGGAACTATGAGGTAAGTACAACAGCTGCTGATGGTTTGATATCATAGGCCTCAGTCAGAACATATGTAGTACATCTATGTTAGTGTTTTAGTTTGGGTCAGGGGTGTGGTTTTGATCATGTGCTGTGCTTTGGTTTGCATTGGGCTGTGTCTCAGACTGTGTATACTAGACCTTTTCATCAAACAAAAAAAAAAAAATTGTACTCCAGGAGCAAGCCTGGTGTTCTCCAACTGCCAGTGGATGTTCACTCTTCAGGGCAAGATCTGAGCTAATTTGTAGTTAATGCTCCTGAAAAATATACGGTGTGGGTGTCAAGTTTGCAGCACCAACTGTTTTGCTCTACAGTTCTATTCATAGTTGACTGCACTACTTCTTGATGTGGACAAGAGCCACATTTGCACCTTGTTTGGTTGATAAACTGATGATCTGATCACTAGGTTTCTGTTAATTTAGCACTGAAGTTGTCATGAGTAGCAATAACAAAAGAGGCTGTTGCTGGTTTCTCCCAGAAGTATTTAAACCTTTTTCTCCCAAAAGAATTTAAACTTCCGCTGGCACAATTGCAAACATTTAGTTTGTGTGACTGTAACTGATTGGAATAACAGCAATGCCAGCTATGCGCTGTCACGCAAGAGGGCCGGCATTGATAAGGCTGTGAACCCCACACAGGGACTAATAACTTTTATTGCTTTCTGGTTTTATGCCCATATATATTCGTTTAACTATGTAAATGAAATAAGCAGTAGAGCTGTGGGTTTTGTAGCATAATGAAGGTTTTATATGCAGCTGATTTTTTTTAAAGAAATCTTTAAAAAAGATAAAATACAACAAAATGTTTTTTCTTCAAAGGGTGCTGGGAGACAGATTTAGTGTATAGTTGTGAAGTAGCAGGTCAGTGACTAAATTCCTCATTCCATCTGAAGTCAGGTGATCTTGGAATTAAACCAAGAAGAGTTCAAACCAGAATCTAGCTGAGTCAGTCACAGAACCCTTGAAATACTGGTACAAAAGGGAGCAGCACTAATCCAGCACCGTGGTAATTACCCGGCTCAGATTCTGTGTTTTATGAGTCATGTGGATAAAGGTTTTAGGAACCACACATTACTTTGCATAATCCTTGCTTACTATGTAAATCTGTGTCTCGATTTGCTTTGATTAGCCAAGCAATTTACTACACATTTTTCAATAAGTGCTAATCAATTTGTGGTAGGAATACACTGACATGGTGTACGAAAGGTTGTCAGAGAGCAAAAATAGAGCAAATGTGGCTGAAAAGCCTGACCCCATACAATGTTGGTTTTGTTGTATTCATTGACAGAACTGCGTTTAAATCTGATTTCTTTTCTATTATGCAAGCTCGTACAAATTCCAGAAACTGCAAAGGGAAACTCGTCTTTTAACTCAAGTATTGAGGTCTGAGATTCTGAAAGGAAACTTACTATGCAGGGGTCAGTTTTAACTTGGAGCACCAAGTGTTTTCTTATTCGATCTGCTGTAAAGTATGTAGTAGAGTCTGTGGATCCCTGTCTGTATTCTAATATTAATGCCTCACTCAAAGAGACTCGGACTCTGTTAATTTTCTAGCTCCATTGCCCTGGGTAATTCCCTTATCACTGAGATGCTGCCAGTAAGATTTTGCACCTTGCTAGTGTGAGGGTTAAAAAGCTATGGTCTAAGTGACATTGTGTCATGGTGATGCTTCTGTGACTGCAGTAAGGAGTAGAGACAGGAGAAAGAAAAGGATCTCACTGTGTGCTACTTTCTTATGTCTCTTTGCATTTTTTTTTTTCCTTTCCAAGCGAGAGGCTGACCGTAACCAGGAACTGCTCACACGCATAAAGCAGTATCAGGAAAGGGAAATGGAAGCTGAAAATAAACTGAAAGAACAAATGGAGATGAACAAATCCTATAAAAAGAGCATGGAGACCATGAGCAAGAAGCTGCAAGAGAAGGAGAGCAAATTAGCTGAAGCTAATGAAGTAAGAAAAGAGTAATTTTCTAATGCACTCATAGCTTCAGGTGACTTTGAGGATCTTGTGCATTAAAAATGATCTTTTTTACACAAATTGAAATCACTGTGTTCATCATCTGGAGAACAATAAACCCTGATGATGTGTGTCCCTACTGTTGAAACTTAGAGCTTAAACAAGTCCAGATGCAAGTGAAGGCCAGAAGAGGTTGCTGTGTTAGTTAATAAAGAGAAGAGGTTGCTTAGACAGGTTGATGTGGAGGAGGAGAAGAGAAGTGCAAGGCAAGAGACAGGGTCTAGGTTTAGATGTCAGGCTACGTGACATTGAGTAAAGAATGGGGAAAAACGATGGAGCAAATGGTAAGCCAAGAAGAAGGTGTGAAAATGGTTAGGGAAGTAGGGGGAACTGTAGTGTGGGTGAGACCAAAATTATATACAAGTCATGTTTTCCAAAACTGTCTTAAATGCCTACATGTTCCATTGCATAATGAATGCTAAAATAATAACTTCAATTCTTCTGGATGAACAGACCACCTTGTCAACCCTCAAACTTTTCAGACACTATTATAACTAAGTTAAGCTAGTGCATTTGTAACCTCTTCTGTTTAATTTGATCTCCTGCACCAGCTATGGATCAATAGCTACTAAGTCCTTAAGCCTTCCTCCTGCTTAGGCATCACTGGAAAGGTAATGCATCTGTGTGATAAAGCAGGTAAACAGAGATAACATACCAGCTTTCAGTGATAAAAACAAGAAGGCGCTGATGGCACTTGAGAGAAACTAATCCCATGTGAAATACTTTCAGCAGTTCTGTTTCTATATTCTTTTTATTTCCATAACCATCAATACCAGGATAAGAATCCTATGTGTCTCTTTATCTAGAAAGCTTTTATACATATAAAAGCTAAACATCTCAAAACATTCTCTCTGGTATTGCCTGAGTCATGTCTGTTTGATCCAAACTTATGACTTGGTCTTTAGAGTTTAGACATTTAGAACTGAATTCAAAGGAATGCTGGTGTGTATTTTTAAGGAGGACAAGGCTTATGTTGTTTAGGTGAGGAAGACCCAGGCACTTTGAGTTTTGAAACCCAGAAAAAAACTTAGTTGGCATGGTTGTGGGATAATTTTAATCTTTAATATATATCCCTGTGTATCTAGCTTTAAGGCTTGATTGTTTGCATGCCAGTTTGAGGTCACCCACTTAATAGGTAATGGAAATGACAATTTGGGTGGCAGATGAAAGCATCTAAAAGATTTTTGTCTTGCCTTTTGAGGTAAGTTTGCAGGTCTGAAGATTTGCAAGACTGCGAGGTTATTTATGGGTTCAGTGTTGTGCTCTTCGGATGGGATTTGATAGGAGCGCATCGCTGTCCATAATGTCCAGCTTGTAGACTCACTGGCTCATGTATTTATTCTTTCTTTTTGCTAATTCAGACGATCACTGTATTAAAAGGGAAAATATCTGAGCTGCAATGGAATATAATGAATCAAGAGATGCAGATGACAAGCCAAGACTCTCAGAAGCAGGAGCTGATGGAACAGCTGGAAGTTCAACACAAGTAAGCAGGGGATGAACGACTGACTGCGGGGGGAGAAAAAAGGCGAACAAAACTTCAATCTTCTGCAGCTGCTGTCACTCAAAACTTCTAGCAGCGTTTGATTTTTTGCTCTTCAAAGGGGTTCTTTGATCTGGATGTGCAGGTTATAACTGTTATTTGAAACTAGCTCTGAGGAGCAATTTAATTTTACCTTGAGAGGAGGGGGGGGGAAAAAACCTTAAGCTTAAAATCTCTCAAGGATGTCTTGTGCTCGTGCTGGGAGTGAACGGAAGGCAGGTGGGTGGGAAAGGCTAATCTGAATTTTATAGACTGAACATTACAAAAGTATCAATCCATAAATCATAGTTGAGGGGTAGTTGAAATACACAATGACTGTATTCTTCCTTGCTTACTATAGTCAGTTCTTCAATTTTGAACACACTGTTTTTCTGGTTTAAGTTAAGTTAATGTATTGTGAGTGTATGTTTGTTGGTTTCAGAGTGAAGGTGGCTTGTTTTTTTGAGTGTTTCTCAAGATGCATCCTCTTAATAAAAATAGAGGTTTCTGTCTGTGAACTAGAGGAAGGTGGTATGAGTGTGAAACTGAGTCTAGGGCAATCTTCTGTAACAGTCCAACATACCTTGTTAGCAGGGTTTGAAAATGTTTGTGCCGTATACTTCTGCATGTGGCTTGTTCCTAGTGCGTGCTTCCTGTGTGCTCAATGTCTCTTGTGTCTAAATATCTAATAGAAAATGGCAAGAAGCTAGTCAGCAAATCCAGACACTGCAAGCAAGCCAATCCCTGCTGGCAGAATATGAACAGAAGATTAAGGTAAGTAACTCTGGGACCTGTACAGAGTTTTAGTTTTTAATCTTCTATTCCTGTAACAGTCTTTTTTAAACACTTCTGCTCTTCTTTGGAAGAGATTAGTCAGTCATGTAAGAATCAGATCTTGTGGCCGGGGAGATCTGAAGTTGGCTGAAATCAATTGGATGGACAAGGCTACCCATAATTAGCCTTTGTATGACACTCTTCATCTTTGTTGTCTTGATAGACTGGAAATAATCTACCTATGCTTTCTCTGTAGAGAACTGATTTATATCCTTATGCAGTACTCTGGATGAATGCTCTGTTTGATCTTGTGCCAGAGCCCAATGCATTAATATTCTAGAGCAATCTTTTTTTAAATAGTGGAGGACGAACCCAGTAGCTACAGTTATGTTTCTACTTCTTGGAAAATACTTCCTCTGGAGTTGTGGTTAGCTCTTTGTAAAGTGCAATTACTTGCAAAGCTTTCAAAAACACTGACTTAAATGTGCGTATAGAAGTGCTTTCTGTCGTTTCAAATGAACATGCAGGCTGGTGGAAGTGAGTCTTTTCCTTTTGCTTCTTATCTTTTTGGGAGAGAGACATGTAGAGAGTTACTTTGCTTTGAGCAGATAATGATTGTGGCATTGCCTCTGCCATAAAGTAAAGCTACGCTGAAAGGCAGCTTCACTGCATTCCTGTAGTCAGAGCCAGGGGAAGGAAAAGTGGGGAAACAGGACTATTGCGATAGTCGGACTGCAGTGGCGTTCTAAAGAATTTTCATTACCTTTTTGGAAAAAAGCAATGTTTACCCTAATGCTAAAAGGCGTGATTGTCTGTCTTCTCATTACTAATTCTTTAAGGCCATGCGAGTGCCCTTTCTCACAGTTTATGTACAGTTTATTGATGGAGGGACAGGGGACAGGAAGATCAGGGATTTTATTTAGTTGATAGAAGACGACCGTTCTAATGGTTAGCAGAGATTCTTCTTCTCTCCCACCACCCTCGAGAAACTAACGGTAAGTATAAGAGTGTAGAGAAGAGACCTGTTCAACTGTTACGAGTGTAGCAAGTCCTGCTTTGAATGATGGATTGGACCAGATGACCTCCTGAGGTCCCTTCCAACTTCGTTTATTTGAGTCATTGATTCTGTCTAGTTAAGAGTACAACAGAGAGGTAGTTGTTATTAGTTCTGAGTTAATCTCTTGTCATGTCTTGTTTTCCAGGATCTGGAACAGAAGCTTTCCCAGCAGGAACATGATGCTTTAATTGTCAAGAACATGAAGGCAGAGCTGGCCCGCTTCCCAAAAATGGAGCGAGAATTGCGCCAGCTCAGGGAGGAAAATGCCTATTTCAGGTAAAAGGATTCAGTTGTTGAGAGGACTGTCTTCTGCTCTTTTGTACCTTCTACAATTGCACTATAAGGACTTTCAAATCCCTGCATCTAACTTCTATGGTTTGTAGTGTGGCATATGATGCTGCACCTCCACATGGGAAACTTTAGAAATAAATTTAAATATCTTATGCAAATACTGCATCTCAATTAAGCAGTGTTATGATGTTACTAGATGATGGGATTTGAGAAGATCTGCGTCATCTTCCCGATCACAGTGAGAGCTTCACAGAATGAGTACTGATGACTTTGAAGGGTGATACCTACTTATTAGAAAAGATTCACTGTTAAAAGATAGTCATGAACTCTTTCTAGACAAGTTTGTGAAAGAAATCCCCATAGAGAGGAGAGACAGCTGAACATTTCTGTAATAATGGTTATTGCTTAGTTATTGTTACCACTACTTTAAAGCTCTGTTGTACTGGTGTAATGTTTGAATGTTTGCAAAGCCTTTTGTTTAAATTTATAAAGCACTCTGTATAGACCCCTGTAGAGCAGACTTTCTGGGTTTCTGAAGTGACAATTTGAAACATTCAGTTCCTATGTAATGCCAAATAGTTTGGTTAAAGACTTTTTTTAAGAATAGGGAACTTAATTTCCATCTTTAGGTGCATCTTAAAAACAAAACAAAAAGCCCCTAAATTATATGAGTGTCTGATCTTGCCAGCTGTTTTTTACTCTAAAGTTAAATAATGTCTTGACTTTGTTCTTGTGGATGTTTCATTATCATTTTCGCTTGTTTATCTTGGAATTTTTTCTCACTCATTTTTATGCTCTCAACAGAGGTCAGCTTTATTTCACCCTTGCACACCTCTGTTGAAGTAGATTAGAAGCGGTCTCCATACTTGCTCAGTCACCACAGAGTACAAAAACCCCTGAGTGTCTACCGCTTGCTGTGTTCCAGCTCTGCATTCAGACTAACTGAAATTGGACTTGGGAGTCTTGCTACCTGTCATACTGTTCTGCCAGTCAGTAAAGCAGATACAAAACTTCATTTTGTTTGGACGTAATTAGAACAGCACTTACAGTGGAAAAATGGAATTCAGTACAGCTGCATTTTTTTGTAGCAGTGGTTTTGCAGTGAGTGTTATAGAAGTGAGTGAGCTGAACGTTGTATTGTCTATCCAATGTTTTATGCTTCCTTAGTAATTTTGTGTGTATCTGAAAGTTTGGTTTGTGTGGGGGAATTGAATTGCATGGTTACTTAATGGATGTCTTGCTTTTCACTCTAGGGAAATGAAAGAAAACAATGGATTGCTTAAAGAGGAGGTGGAAGGTCTGCAAAGGAAGCTGGAACGCTATGAGAAACTCCAAGCACAGCTGGTGACCCTGGAATTGGAGAATGAGGTGAGAAGCTAGGAACGCTGGTGGATGAGTAAACGGAGGTTTTCTTTGTTGCTTGTTCTATCTTTTAGCCTGTTTCTCTATTGTGTTACTTAAGCTATGTACTGTAATTAAGGGGTTTGAACCAGGCATTTCCTAAACTTCCGAAGCGTCAACATGAGGGGAGTTATGGCAATGGAGGATAAAAATGCAAAAGGATATCTGCTGTTCAGTAGAACTGAAATTTTCTATAACGAACAGTCCCATCACGGTGTCTTCTTTTGCCTTGCTGTCTCTTTCACCTCGCTTCTGCGAGACATGCATTTTTTGACATTTTAGCTCTTCCCAGACAGGGTGTTGCTGAACAGGCATATGGTAAGAACTTAAGATGTGTATTTGGATTGTTGCTCAAGCTAGCAGGTCAGAATGTAGTCTTTAATGAATGTAATTGTCTTGCTTCCATCCCACCCTGTAGCAAGCATGCACTGGGTTGTCAAGAAATTAACCTAAATGCATAAGCTTGATCATTTGTAGATCTGTAATGATGGCTGATTAGTTTTGGATAATCTGATCTGGTGTTGACTGAAACTAAAGAAGCTGTAGGAAGAACTGGAAGAGGGCAAGCAGGCACTCGAGCTGCTATAGAACTTATGTTGGAAATGCAAGCATCCTCCTCTGCTCCTCCCACTCCTCGACCAAAAGTCTAGTCTACCAAGGTCTAGTACAGTGGTGGGAGCTCATAGGGTTGGATATACATAGCAATGAAGCGGGTTCCATATGTCACGGAACTATAGTGACTGGGAAAATAACTGTTTGTGAGAGCTGGAGAATGACAGCATAGAAGTGCTAGATAAGAAGATAATGAAATTCACAGGAGAGAAAGGAAAGACACTTAAGTTTGAATGGAGAATAAAACAGTGCAGGAAAGGAGCTCTTAGAACAGTACTTTAACTCTTCTTTTGATCTCCACTTTAGAAACTTCTGGGAAAATTAAAAAGCTGGGAGAAACTGGACCAGAGCACTGGCTTAAATATCAGGTATGTGCTCAGAGTTGAGGAGTTAAAACTCTTACACCACTGTCTTTTCCTCTTAGTCATCCTGATGCCTGAAGCTTGTTGATCAGGCTGCTCTTGCTATCTGGTCTGCCTGTGGAAGCTCTTCCAGTACTTTTTATTGTAAATGAAAAGAAGTGTAAGATACATACTATCATAAAGTATCTTTGGGAACTGACAAATGTTTTTCACTAAGTCAGCTTGACCGATGTCTCTGAGGGCTGAGTTGTTTTGAATTCTTTGAAATTCTTGCATATAGTTACATTCATGATTAGGTAGGGATTCTGCTAGTATAATCAGTCAACGTTGAGGATTTTAGGGTGTGTCCAGAGTAAAGGATGTACTTGTAATAACTTATTGTAAGTGCAATTTCTTTGAAATCTGGTATTGAAATAAATTGTCAAATCATGTTGTTGTGACTTTTCTCCTCCAAAGCAGTTAGCTGAGTTAACAACTGGTCTTTATCTAATGGTAGAAATGAAATAAACTTCTCGGTTCCTGATAAAGGGTGGGGGGAGGTATAAAACCAGCTAGTCTCTTTGTGCACTGCTACTTAACAACTCTTTCTGACATCTGAAGCATTCAACTAGATATTTTTTAAGGTCTCTGGTGTGTATGTGGTGTAATGAAGGGCTGGAAATGGTGTATCTCCTCCTGATCATTTTTGTTCTTCCGCGGAAGGTTCTGTGTAGGTAGGATGCTTTTAAGTGTCACACACTTCAGCACTGTTTTATTTTCTCCAAATATTTACACTGTGTTTATGCTAGAAGGAGAGATGCTTCACTGTGAAGAGCTGCCTTGCTATGAACATCATTGCACAGATCACCTTTAATATTGGATCAAGGCCTGAGCTGCAACATGAATTGCAGAACCTCATTTTTCCAGTTGTTTCTTTCTTCCTTTGACTTGTGCCCAACAACAGAAAAGGAGTTATGTCTGCACACTGCGGGGATTATCTGGAGACGGGAGTGTTTGGATATGTGTTTCTGGTTTGGGCATGTTGCTGCTTCGTGTACAGCACGTTTACATTCAGTGGGGAAAGCTCCTTAATTTTCTCAGTGTTTTCTGTTTAATAAGGACAATAAACTTATTTCTAGAGGCATGCAAGTAGATAGCATGCTTGAGACTATTCCTTCTGCTCAGGATACGTGCATTTAGATGAACTTAGAGTTGTGCTAAATCTATGGGCAGGGAATGGACAGAAATAGTAGGAATCCTTTTCACAAAACTTATTCCATCAGACAGTGGAGTAAAAGCTTTTTACTTACCTCAAACTGTTAAAAGTTTAATGAGATAATTTCACAGTGGGAGAGAAATGGAACCAAGTGACTCTGCCTGTTGAAATCTAGTAACTCCTTCATTTAAAATCAGAATGTTTGCTGTAAAGTGTTAGATTTTTTGATCGGACCATATTGTTTAATGCTGTTAATGGTGCCTTCTCATACATGTGATCCCTCTCTCCCTCCTCCTCCTTTTTTTTCTTTTTTCTTTTTTTTTTTTTTTTGCTTAGACTTCTTACAGCATGTTCATTTATTTTCAGTCAGGAATATGAAGAAGATGAATATAAAGAGAGATCATTGTCCCAGTCAGATTCTTGGAGCATGCCATTGGTGGCAGTTTTAAGAGAGTAAATTACCCATCTCAGAGTAGAAGAAAATAGGAACAAATTGGATGGTTGTCCCAAAGAGTCAGAGCAGCGTGCTGTTTGCTAGTAACTAGATGAGCAAGGAAAAAGGGAATGCATTATGACTTTTCATCTTTTCTTTTTACTTTCTTCACTGGTGCACAGAACGTAGGGGAAAAGCCTACACACTGTGGATTTTTAAGAGAGGATGGCTTTCCGTTTCCTCCAGCACTTCCACAGGACGGCTTCTGTCTGTTCTCAATGATTCTGTTCACTGATTGCCTGGTCCCAGCAGACTTTTTGTCAGGTTGGCTCATGCTCAGGCTTTTGAGTGTAATTTTATGTAAAAACCCTTGGAAAGGAGGGTGCAGCTTTTAGGAATGTTAATCTTAATGTTTTAGTACTGAACTCTTTTTGGAAACTTAGAAAGAGCTAAATGTTTTATAATGCTGCACCTTGGGGGGTTTTCTGATGCAGTTGGCTCTAGGTTTTATCTTGGATGTAATTTTGTTGTGTAGGAGCTCTTGTAGTATGTTTTGGAGCTATTTGTATCTGTTATTATTAGGCTGCTAGGGATTTTTGTTTGTCATCTGTCATTTTGACTTGATAGTCCCTGCTGTAGGATTTGGTTTCAACTGCAGAAGGGGAGAAAACGCACAAAACTTTTGAAATTCTCGTTTTGTGAGTGGAAAGTCTTACACTTACTCTGAGAAGGATATTCTTGTGTGGCTATTGTAGGGCTTTTTAATAAGAAAGAGTTATTTTGATGAAACAAGTTTCTTGTACTCTCTTTGCGGGACACTGATGTAGTTTGTATTTCTACAAAATACGATATTTGCGTAAATGAGTTCTTGACCATCTTCCGTCAAGAACCAGAGCAACCTTGACAGGCTTGGCTTTTTCCTCAGAGTTGCACTGTTAGTTCAGAAATAGTTTCCAGGTAGCTTCTTGCCTGCCGTTTGCAACGTATATTTTAACAGAAAAATGTTTCTGAAAGGTTGTGGGATGTCTGGCTGTGTGGCAAGAGGCAGATAGTTCCTGTTGATGGCAATGTGCAGAACCATCCACGAGATGGCACCCTTTCTCCTGCTGCCAGAGAAAAATGGTTTCAGCTCTAGTCCGGCAGGCTCAGCCTCCTGTAAAAACCATCAGCTGAGCATCTTAAGAGTCAGCTAGTCTAATGAATATTGTTCACTGTTGCTGTCAAATCTTTTAAGACCTGTTTAATGCTGCAAACATGCAATCGTTGTGTCTCCTTGTCCAGTAGGGTTTTTTTCTACTTATGGTAGTAACTCAGTGTGAAGAAGATTTGCATAATTCTCTAATGATATAGAATACACTGTTTTTCTCCTTAAACTCTTTAAACTTTATATTTCCATCCCCTGGTTTTCAATCATTCTCTTTTATAAGGAGTTGTTCAAAGCCTGTTTCTTCTCTCCCCAACCCGAGTCCTACGATTGCATCCTTGAGAGCAGCACTGTTATTGATCTGATTTTCTTCCCCTTCTGCAGCATGTAGAAGATAACAACCTCTACTTTGTATTTGGGTGTTCCATGAGCTCTTCATCTAAAAAAAGCCTTTTTTGTTGCTTCTTTTCTGTGGCTAATGTTGCCTTTATCGTCATATGAGTCAGCCAGGTGGTGGTACTCTCCCTAAACACGTATATCCTGGAGTGCTGGATGTTGCAAAAAGATATGCCTCAGATATATTTTAAAGATCAGGCAGGTTTTAAGTCAAATACTAATAGTCACTGAGAGCAACTGGCAGGAGTTAATGCTAAATTTTCTTCGTATTTGTCTGTAGTGGCAGAAGATTGCAAGTTTTAAAAGGTTGAAGTTATGTTGAAAAGTTATGCACATTTCTGAAGACTGACTGAGGTGGGTCACAAGCAGCAGAGCTTCAGAGGGGTTTCAGTCCCAGAGTATTTTTTTGAAGAGAAAATAGATAGTAAAGTTCTATATGAGGTGGTGTTTTTTTGTTTTTGTGTGTGTGTGTTTTTTTTTTTTTTTTTTAATTAAAAGTACAGACTTTCAGAATTTTTCATGTTTTCGCCTGCTGGGCTCAAAGATCTGTGTGTATGTACAGCAGAATTCCTTTGTAGCGCTGAAGGATTTAGATGTTAGAGTGTAATTGTGGATAGGAAGAGGATCAAATATATTGATAATGACCTTCTCTTTCAGTAGTCTCAGAGATATAGCCTTATAGGTCTTACCTTTTTTTTGGGCACCATTTTCTGTTGCAAATAATACTCCTGGCTGAGGGGTGTGGGTGTGGAAGATGAGGATAAAGGATTTTTTCGCATTACTCTTCAGAATCTTTTCTTTTTTCCCTGCCCAAGCAAGGAAGAGATCAGCAGCCCTTTTCTGAAGGGTCGTGGGATACAGTGAGGAAGTTGGAGGTGAGGCTGACATGTCAGAAGACGAAGCAGTTGTGCTCAGACTCTTCTGTGCTACTCAGCAGCTCCAGTCATGGTCTGAGCTTTCTTGAGCACCATCTAATACTGCTAATACTTGAGCTCCAGTTATATTGGAAGGCAGGTCTTAGTCCTCTGATGCTTACAGTATAAGGCATCCTTCTCCTAGGTTTAATGAAACATGGATCTGGAGACTACCTGTAGTTGCCCTTCAGTTTGTAAGGGTGAATTTACTTATCTTCAGTGATAGTATCACATTAAACTGGTAGAGTTGTTCTGTGTGCTCGCTGTCCAGGCCTGTAAAGAGAAGTGCAGATTTGACAGGAATTCAGGCCAACGCTTGAGGACCATTTTCACTTAGTGGAGCCTGCCAGCTGCAGGCAGCAGACACTGATCTGCTGACCTGTCGCCTAGAGCCAAAGAAGTGAACCTGTTAGTGCTGACCTGGTTTTCTTTCTGAAACATCTGTGGGCTGGCTGACTGACAAATCTTGGGGACTAGCTTCCTGCAATGCCTGAGACCAATTAAAAAGAGGAGATAGTGTGAATGTGTATGCATTTCCGCTCTAAGAAAGGGTCTAATTAAGTGGCAAGCATCTCTATTTAGTACAGTGGTTAGCACAGTTGTAATTTGTGATTACACAGGTGCTACACTCAGTACAGGAAGTCCTTCTATGCAGATTCTGCTTTTGGAGTTGGGGGGGAAGGGAGGAGAGGGAGGGAATAGGGAATCAAATTCCTTGATTCTGCATTTAGTGGTGGATTAGTGTTCTTTTTTTCAGTGAATAGAAAAGAAGGGAGAATATTGGAGTTCTCTACTTTCCTCTTTGAATCTTGATTATCTATGCTTAGCTACTCTGCACTCCCTTCTATCCAAGGCATTGAATATCTTCCCAGTAGTGAATGAGGCTCATAATCTTCTTTCTCACAAGGTAGTAATTTACCTTTC